TCAGCGAATCGGAAAAGCGCATTGACTCATCCATCCGTCGATGATGATGATTGCGTCCAAAGTTTGTTAGTCAGTAGCAAAACATTTTTCCGAGAAGCTGAGCAATGATTTCTATGGAGCAGCTTGTTTTCATTGAACAAAAAGAGCAAATAAAAAGGAGGTTGTTCTTCTTAGAGTGATCACCTGCTGTATTTATAGGTGACAAAACGGGTAGGGTGTGGGGTAAGGTGTTGAAAAAAATTGGCGTCCATCGTTAGGACTGACCTTTTTAGGGCAGCCTGATTGATAGGTCTTCTCTCTGAATTTTCAGCATCGCTTTCTCTCTCTGTGAAATGTTTTTTGCAAGTGTTCAGTGGGGAACAACAGGGACTGGAGCGACAGTCTGCATCCTGACTGCCTTCATGGACACCTATGAATCTTGCAGGGAGCCACGGAGAGAGGCAAGATTTTCCTACAGTTTTTGAATATTTTAGGGCATTAACGGGTCTCTAAAGAGAGCAATGGTCACGGGTAATTGTTGGCCAATCGGTTTCTGTAGATGAGAAGTTTCGTTGAGGTAGTGATAGGACTACCGTAGGTCTACTGTATAGTAGACACTCACAGGGGCATGTTGCAACTAGAAAGGGTCTGATGATGGATTTGTTCTGTAATGAATGTGGGCGATCCCTCCCTTTCTTACTTTCTCTCCCTTCAAACCCTAAAAAATCCGACAAAAAATGTAGTGGCATATTTAAAATAAGCCTAAAATTTGACATTTTCAACTCAAAGCGAATAGAGTGACCCTGATAAATGAACCGTAGGACAAATAGTTCATCTCATATCAGTCCGAGGTTTTTACCGATAAGCTTGTTACCGAGCTGTTTTGTTATTGACCTAGAAAGAACTGCTTTTCCCTCCTAAGAAAAAGCTAATCGATTGCCAAGTTTCGATAGTAACCTTCGCGGAGAATCACTGGATTGTTTTGATGGTCGTTTCGAGATTCAAATCATCACCTTGTCTCTACGAAATTGAAGTCACCATTGAAAAGGATGACCTTCAAAGTGAAAGAACATCGTCGCTAAGCGGATGTGACGATCTCTGCCGACAAGGTGTTTGTGAAAAGTGACAGCGCCGATTGGGTTCAGCACAGAAATCGGAAATCGCCCTCGTTTTCTCCAAACATTTTCATGGACAAGAACTGAAGACTTCGGCCAATTTGGCAAGATGAAGTACAAGTTCCGATCCCTGGCTAAGAATTCAATGGTAGCCCTATTTGTCACAATTCCGACCTTAGTGGGGATAAACTATTGCCCAAATCTAACTTAATTAGCTGCTGCTTCCTTCAAGTAGCCAGTATGGGTGATTTTCAAGCGCCATGTTTTACTTTTGTTTGCTTCTTTGTTGATAGCTATGAATGTGGCTGCAACTTGTTTTTCTGGCCTCACAGTAGAGCGCTCCCTAAGGTGAACTTATAGAATGGAGTCTTCAAAAAAGGCCCGAAGCATGAACTTGCCGAGACAATTCTTGAAGACTCTCCCATCCATAGTAGGTCCATCGAAGTGTTAATTCGTGTAGGACTGTTCTAAAAGTTTTAATAATGCCCTCTCCCTTCCTACTTCTACCACATCCATAACGTTGCTCCAGTATTACGCCTTCTTAGGTGGGCGGAAAGCTAATTTAACCGAAAAGGTGTGAGTGCCGCTGTTGATCGCAGTCCTTTTGGAATGTGTCATACATTCAACATCCGTGAGACGCCAACTGGCGGCTTCTGGGAGAATGATAAGATATCTGCTCGGAAGAGCCAGAATGTCCGACTGAAGCAATGTATTGGCAACCATTATTCACCATTAGGATGTTATGAAAATAATTTGCTTCGAAGGCTGTTCCATGGCACGGAATCTCAATCTCATTCGATCAAGAGATAAGTAAAAATCGAATAGGCGAGATAGTATAACATCTTTGACGTACACCCCACCACCGATCTTTCATGAGCCTAAAATCAAGGCCAATAACCGCTGTCGCAGATTTCACTGTCAGGTCATTACGATGATCCAAAACCGCTTCACTTATCAGTTTTAAGAAGTTGCAGTCCGCGTCGACTATGGCGCAACCCTGGATATGCTATAAAAGCGGCGGTGGCAGCCACATCGACAACACGACATGTTCGAGGAGAAACTCATCGTCGGAGTGGCTTCGGCCTGCTCCACAGTGGCCATCGTTGCCTGCCTCATTGTGGTCCCATCTCTCTACAACACCATCAATGAGATCCACGATGAGGTTCTCGACGGTGTCTCCGTGTTCCGCGTCGAGACTGACTCCGCCTGGACCCAGATGATGGACTTCCAAGTTGCCGTCGCTCCCCCAAGCAA